ACTAAGTAAAACTTGAGCGGTGCATAAGACTTCTGCTGTCTGTCTAGGGATTAAATTTCATTCTTGGATAGACACTAGCTGAGACTAGAGTCCAGTTTGTCCCTCCACTGCCAGCACTCTAAAGAGGTCTCATATCATACTACACAGATCTTTAAACTGTATATATAAAATTACTATAACAGGTAAATTTTCGTAAGTTAATTGTAAGAATAGGTGCAAAGTGTTCTGATAGAAATGTGGTTTTTCAAGTGTGTGTCCATTTAAGTACAGAAGTGAGCCAAGAATTAAAAAAACAAAACAAAAAAAAACCACACACACACTTGCAGAAAAGAAAATAAGAGTTCTACCTAAAATTCAGTCTCTGCATTTCAGATACCAGTTCATATGGGTAGTTCCTTCTCTTTCCATGAAAAGAAAGCAGAACATCCAATCACAACACTTAACTTTTGGTACCTTACCAGACTTAGGCTGGGACATCTCGAATTGAAACTCTACAGCTCTCAAATAAAGACATGTTTAAGTTAGATGCATTGTTATAGAAAAGCAATAAACTACTGATTTTAAGTCCACTGATTGGCTTTTTATTCAAAACACCCCAAGGGGAGAAGAATAAATCCACATGGAACTTGTAACAGGCAAATTTTGTTCAGTCTGACTTTAACTGAGGTGCTGTTGCTAACCAGTAAGGGAGCACAAAAAAGGTAGATGACAACTGTGGAGCAGAGATATTGCTCTTGGCACACAAGTGGGAATGTAAAGGTACATGGCCTGAACAAGTTCAATAATTAGATAGTTCTCAGAGAATCAGTATTTCTGACAAGGATGACTCCACCCTAAAATGCCTCTTTGAAACTAATAGGATTAACTATTTAAGGTCCAATATAGATCAATCGCCTGGCAAGGGTAAAGCAAACAGTTTCCTCGAAATCTGACTGGATGCCTACTTGACCACTCCTATCCTATATCCAAAAGGTGATCAGCTATTAATTTAGTTAGATCTTAATTTTATTTCAGGGGTCTTTAAGAATTAGATGGATAACATTCCTGGCAAGCTGTAGAAAACATTGAGCTTTGGTAGTTCAACAAACTGATTTTCCAATGAGATATTATTCCAGGCCTTCAAAGTGAAAATGTCAGCTCAGTGGGAAATTCCAGGAGACACACTCTGCTAGTTGAAGTATGTCAACTCAGCACACCGAATTCCTTGTGAGAACCTATGTTTCTTAATCAGAGGTAATTTTTTTTAGCTGTATTCCCTCTGCTGTCTCTCTTTAGATTGGAGAGTGGAAAGAATTTCTCTAAGATTAATTAGAAAGAAATGCAAGTTATCAGATCTCCTTTAGGACTTGGTCCAGAAGTTCTTGAAAGAACTTTGTTCCTTTGTAAGAGAGTGATCATTATAAATATTAATAGTTTTCATGCCCATACCTAATGCACGAGTGTTTATATAGCCACCACACTGTACATGTGGTACGACGGTCCCACAAGGTAGAACGTTTTTGCTAATTGACACTATGCAAAGGATCACATGGTTAGTTGCTATTTATTTTCCCTAATAAATAGGAGTCTTCTGGCATTCAGAAACCTACTACTGTGTTAAGTAGCAAGCATATATTCCAAACTGATTAGCTGGGAAAGTTTTTAACACCACCTTTTAAAAAGTAATCAGCTAATGTTAGTCTCTGTGACATCACAAAGAAGGAAGGAAATAAACATTTAATGGCCTATGGAACTACAGTAGCACTTGCCAGGAGTCCTCTTCCAAAGTGGAAGAAAATATCCTTGAGGGTTTTCAGTATTGTGAGGGTTAAGTTGTCTAGGAAAGGCAAACAGACTAAAAGTTACATATTTGCACTGTAATTCCAGAGCCTGGAGATAACTCCTCCATTAGCAATGGCTGAGTTTCTCCAGAGAACCACACATGTTTACCATCAGCTTTTTATAACATTACAGGTTTGTGTGTGCTAACACTGTCATCAGAAAATATATTCTAGATCCTAGAATGCCTTGACCCAACTCTCTAGAAAAGCACTCTAGATCCCATGCAGGACAAGGGGTAAGAATTATAACTAGATACAACATCTAGAGACAAAGCTGGCAGCACTTCGGAATTAAAACCACAAGACTGAGTATGACTCTGCTACAGGGAATTCCCTTCACCACTTCAAGCCTTAATAGGAAGGCAAGTGCACACTTGTGGCAAAGCACCAGGCCTGGGAATCAGGAGACCAGGATTCTATTCTTGGCTGTACCACTGACTTCCCACGTGATTTTGTGAAAGTCAGCTTCTGTACCTCAGTTTCCATCCCCGATCTGTAAAACTGATTGAGTAAGTCACTATTTATACTGTGAGAATTTAAACTAGTTTTGTACAGCACCAACCTCCTTAGGCAGAAGTGCAAAATATAACTTCCAAGACGCTTCAACTCTTACCACTTTGCAAAGCAGAAGCCTTGGCTTTTCGGTCTGAAACAGCCATTTTCAGTTCCTTTGTGGCAAGGTCACATGCCACTTAAACCAGCATGGCTGAGGTTTCAGCCCTTTGGGCAAGTGACCATAACAGCACAACATAGTAAACAGACACCACTATAAGCTGGGGAAAGCTTAGGTCACACTTTACATTATTGGTTTCACGCTCTGACATAAGACAATTAAGCAACTACCAAAAAGTACTAACCAAATTTCAACCTGGAATAAAAAGATGTATGAGCCGCTGCCAAAAGTGACCTTAGAGGTAGAAAAAGGCTAGAAACACCACAGCACAAACCCAGAATCCATTGCTACTGGCTGCTTTACTACTTATCATTTGACAGGAAAAACAACCCATCATCCTGAACTGATGTTACATGGTGCAGAAACACTATCTTTTATATTCTTTTCAGAAACTTATGAAAGAGGTCACGCTCTCGGTAAAGTAGCAATCAACCTCCTCAGCAAAAGAGCAATAGTTTTCTATTGAAATAAAGTTATTTATAGGAAGTCATGCAACTCATCTGATTTTTCTAGACAGAGCTCCAAAACATGTTGCCTATTGCATTATAAAAAGTTACTGGTGTTTTTCAAAAAAGTAAGTACACTTGGATTAAATGCCCTTCTATTCAGCTACTTGTAAGTACAAAACAAATTCCATGACATTTAACTGGCAAACCTGCAAATCCTTCTTTTAAAATATGTAGTTTTTTTCCCCTAAGCTAATTTAAGTAACTGATGATACAGGTAAAAAGTGGTTGATTCTATTATATTAAAGAATAACTAATGTTAATATTGCAAGGCTGAGGATTCCTAATTTAATTAAATTTTCAGCTTTCAGTACTTGGGCATTTGCAGAGTCAGACCCTTTGATGTCTGTTTGAAGACACTTTCATCCTTTTCTGAAAGACAATGAATTATGTTGTCATCTTTACTCTGACCCCCCAACATACTAAATCCCAATTTCACCCAGCCAAGCCTTAAAAACAGTCTACCTTTAAGAACAGTCTTGCCGAATAGACTGGTACGTGTACCTATACATGGCCCCAATGCTGCAAAGTGAACCTAGAATGGCATTCCACATGAAGTAGTTCCCATATGTTCAAATCCTTTTGCATGCTCAGGGTCTATAGTATTTCTAAAGCTGGTAAGGGGTATTTTAGAAAAAAGTTTACTTATCTATCTTTACCATAAGGAGCTTGCTCCCCAGTTTTACTCACTCATGTAAACAAAAAACAAAAACCCCACAAATGAGTTATTCAAAAACACATTCCCCTCCATAAATTTATTATGCAAGAAAGGTAAAGTATTTTATTCAGCAAGCACTCAGTTTTATCCCTTTAAATGGGCAACAATTAAGTTTCCTCAGTCTCCTTGCTAACTCAGTCACTTTCAGAAGTGAAATCTCCTATTCACCATTACACACATTTTAAAATTGTATTTTAGAAATGCAGCTAAAGTAAATACCAGGCTGTAGAAGAAAACCAAAAGATCTGTATGCCTTCTGCCCTCCAAGCCCCAAAACAACAGTTAGCTTTTCTGTGGCGTTCACTTGGCTGGGTCACACAGAAAAGCAAGTTGCTCAGCTCAGGCCTTGGTTTTGTATTGCGTATTCAGTAATGTGCACACACTCCACCTTCTTCCTGGGCTTCCACCTTTTGGGGGAGGGAGCAAAATACTTACCACGTCCCACTAAAATCCTTTAGGGAGAGATACTTTTCTCCCCTGCAATCTCCTTTTTCCTTCTCCTCACCCCATGGGTTTTAGGGCACAAAACTAACAGCAGGAACGGTGGGGATACACAAGGGGGTGGCTCTCGCTCTCTCCAGGGCCTACACTCTCTTTGTTTAGGGCTCCCAGCTTCTCCAACTCCCGAACTAAGAACCAGACACGCAGCATAACTAATCAAGTGGTGGGCAAAACCCCTTTCTCCCCCCATCCCGCAGAATGCCCCCAGGCTAAGAGAGGCGACATTTTCAGCGGAGAAACAGAAAGCGGGGGTGCTGAGTCAATACTTTATGAAATGAAAAGAATAGAAAGGGGCAGCCCGAATCAGTGGGGGTGGGGGGGCAGAAAGGGGTGTTTCTCCCCATCTGTAGGGGAATCAAGGCAGGGATAGGCGAGGCTCTGAAGAAGGCAGGCTACACGCGTAGTGTCTCGCCAGCGGCAGCCCCAGTGTGTCTCAGGACCGAGCTCGGAGGACGCCGCTGGCACACAGCTGGCATGCCCCCCGTGTACTGGTTGCTAGGTGCTGTGCCCCCTTAGGCACTGGGTAAACTCGCCCCCGCAGGCGATGGATTCACCTGGGTGCCATATGCTGCTTCCCAATGGGGACGACATACCCCGGGGTGCTGAGTCACCCCATGCTAGGGGGCCGTGCCCCATACCCTAGGGGCAACGGCTACCTCTACCCCCTTCCCGTGGGTGCCGGGCGCCCTGCGCGAGCGCTGCGTGCCCCCACCCGCTGCTCCCGGCTAAGTGGGTGCCAGGTGCCAAGTGCCCCCCTCCCCCGCCAGGGGCCCGGCCCGCACCGTGATGTTGCAGTGGATGGTGAGCGGCGCCGGCGGCGGCGGGCTGCTCCCCGGCGGCGGCGGCAGCAGCACGAACTGGCAGTGCAGCTCGTCCAGCTTCCAGGAGACGATGCGGAAGCGCTCGTGGTCCTTGTCGAAGATGGACTCGAGGAGCTTCAGCTCGGCCTTGAGCCCTGACACCGACATCCTGGCCTCATCTCCGGGCCCGGGCCTGCGCCACCTCGCCTCACGCGCCCCGCGCAGCTCGGCTCCGGCCCGGCCTGACCCGGCCGCGCCTGCTGGGCGGAAGATGGCGGGGAGCAGCCTGAGCCGGTGGAGGAAGCAGGAGCGGCGGCAGCTCCCTTTGTACCAGCCTCCAGCACCCTCTCACACATTTAAAAGGGCAACAGCGGAGCTAGCCACCCCCTCCCCAACCGTGCTGGGCCGGGCCCACCAGCCACCCCGCCCCACGCAACAGTGCAAGGGCGGCCCCTCCTCGCTCCGCTGCCTTCAGGCAGGGTTCCCTCCACGCAGGGCCCCCTACCCGCCACACATATAGCAGGGCAGGGTCTGTAACCCTTCCTCTCACCCCCGCCCCCAGGACAGTGCTAGGCCAGCCCCCTACTCACTCCCCTCCCCTAGGACAGGGTTCACCCCCCTCCACACCCACACACACACGGGCAGTTCCAACCCATACTTATCCCTCCTCCCCCCACACAGCAGGGCAGGATTCAACCCTCCCCCCCAGAGGGCTGGGCCATCCTTGCCCCCAGATGTCCTCATCCCTCAAGCTGGGGCTGGGTTGGCCCCTTACCCCAGACACAGATTGGGGCAGGGCACTTAACTCACCCCTACCCTGCATGAGACACACACCTCACACATCAGGGCAGGGCCCACCCACCCTCCTTGCTCACTTTCCCAACCATAGACCCAGCAGGCAGGATTGGCCTCCTTCCTCCTATCCCAGATACAACAAGGCAGGGCCCTTACTCACTCCTAGCCCTGCCCCATGCACACCTCACACCAGGGCAGGGCTCATCTTCCTTGCTCACCTCCCTCCTCCCACTCACACACCAGTGTAGATCCAGCTCTCTAGTCACTCTCATGTGCCAAGTCTGTGCCACCCCCTAATCTTTCCCCCTCCCCCAGACACATTCACCAGGGCTTACCTGCCTCCCTACTTCTCCACTCATACACACCAGAGTAGGGCTAGCCCTGTACTTACAACTCCTCACCCAGCAGCCACAGGGCAGAGTGGGGTCCCTACTCGCCTTCCCACTCCAAAGACGTATATACTAGGTCTGGTCCAACCTGGTCCACTAGGTCTGCTATGCACATCAGGGCTGACCTGACTCCCTACTCCATCCCCATCCACTAGCCCTACCAGCTTCGTGGTCCTTGCAAAGGGTTTTCACTGTTCTGTAACAGCAACTCCTATCATGCCTGACAAACTCACTAGCCTTACCAGCCTCCCACTCTCTCCCCCAGCTACGGTGACCATATTTTCCTATACTGAATATGGGACACATAGTAAATTACTTGTATTCAAGCGAGTTCAACAGTAATCAATCAGAACTATGCAGTACAAACGTTCAAATTAACATCAAGTTGACTGAGCCCCCATTAAAAAATACTGTGTAGTAGAATTATTTTTATTTCCCTTCTTATCTTTAAGGCTTTAGGGTTCAAACAAGGAGGGGGTTACACACACACCCCTACCCACATGCACACACATGTGGAGAGGTGACACACACACTTCTGTACACCTCTCTTACACGGGAGGGGGGGGTGACTGACCAAGCTGAACCTCTTTGCCCGGCACTCTCTGCCCTCTATGCCTGGCTGGGCCCCCAGGATGGACCCGCCTCTCCTGGTACTTGGCACCGCGTCTTCCCTATGCAATCCGTGGGGGGCACACAGGGTCGCATGGCCCCCCCCAGATTTCTGCCAGGATTCACACCAGAATGTGGCCAGCAGCAGCCTTTCGGCACTGTGCGCGAGGGAAGGGACAGGAGCTACTTCCAGTCACGGGGGTGGGGGAAGGGGGAAGGGATGACCTGGCCCCCATCTTTGCAGAGCTCATCTCTTCCTCCATGCTCCCACGCCTCTCTCCTCCCCCCTCCCCCCCCCCCCCCCCATGGCTGGAAGCAGCTTGTCCCTTTCTGCCGGCGCAGTGTGGAAAGGCAGCTAACACCTCCAGGCTATTGCTGGCCAATGACATAACCCAGGTGCCTCCTGTCCCCTGGCTACAGCACAGGCAGGAAGGGGTTAAGCCCTAAAGATGCATTGTGCACCAGGGCCCAGGGAACCTGACTGCAGGGGCTTCAGCAAACCAGGCCAGAGAGGGGCTCAGCAGGGCAGGGTGCCTAGGGGATGGAACAGACCCGTGCTCCCTGGAGGCAGGACCCAGGGCAGGGGGCTGGGGGGGAGCGAGTGCTAAGCCCCTGCCCCAAGGGGCTGCTGTGGAGACTGCAGGTTTAGGGCTTGAACAGGCTAGAAATCGCTTCTCCCCAGCACCCCAGAGCTTAGATGAGGGGCAGAGAGGCTTCCCCGTGCCAGCACTGTGTAGGGCTTTGGCACATGCAGGGCTTGGCTCCTCCTGGCCAGCGCCCCAGGCTGGAGGGTCTTGGGCTTTTCCGGGGCGCCAGCCCAGCCAGAGGCAGTGGGGGAAGGAAGGAGCCTGCCGGCCGGGCTGTTAGTGAGCTGAGCATTCTGACCCAGGGCTGGTTCTCCACACAGCACTGGGAGCAGGATGCGCCCCGCCGGGGGGCAGAGGAGGGCAATGGAGGAGCAGCAGGGCTGGGGGAGGTGAAGGGGCAAAAGCAGGGAGAGGACAGTGAGAGGGGGAGCACATAAAGGGCTGATGGGTGCAGGGCCGGCTTTAGCAGGTACGGGGCCCCACGCCAGGGCGCAAATTGTCTAGCGCCCCTCCGCCCCAACTCCGCCCCCTCCCTGCCCCATTGGATCCCTCCCCAAATCCCCGCCTTGGCCCCACCCCCTCACTGCCCCATTGGATCCCTCCCCAAATCCCCGCCCTGGCCCTGCCCCTTCACTGCCCCATTGGATCCCTTCCCAAATCCCCGCCCTGGCCCCGCATCTTCCCCAAGCACACTGCATTCTTCCTCCTCACCCCTCCCTCCCAGGCTTGCTCTGATCAGCTGTATGGCGGTGCAAGCGCTGGAGGGAGGGAGGAGAAGCAGAACGCGGCTTTTTTTTTTTTTCCGCTCCGCCGGCAGTCCCGGATTTTGCGGGGCCCTCTTAGGCGCAGGACCCCATTCCGGGGAATCGGCCGAATTGGCTTAAAGCCAGCACTGGATGGGTGGGCAGCACAGGCGACACATAACCAGCTGCTGCCTTGCGCCTGCCTGTACTTACCAGCCACTGCAGTGCACAGCCAGTTCCGGCCAGAAATAGGAGGGGGGGCAAGGCCCTGTTGGCCAAAAGCCAGCATGCAGCAGGGGCTGCGCTGATGGACCAGCAGGGGGAGCGTCCGGCCCCGCCACCAGCATTGCACACTCACCCTCATCATCATCAGCCACTGGAACCCCCCACTCACTGCTGGTGGGAGGGCAGCTGGGATCCGGCCAGCAGCAGGATCCGCCAGTACTGATAGGGGGAGACAGAAAATACAGAACAATTTGCCCATTTTTAAGAAAAAGTCAGGACATCTGCAGGAGGTCTTAAATATGGGACTGTCCGCTTAAAAACGGGACGTCTGGTCACTCTACCCCCAGCCATCCCTGCTCTGCTAATCCCACCAGGTTGCCAATTTCCCTCTAACTGCTCCCCGGCTAACACACACACACTCTGCTGGGCTGCTTCTGCAAGCTTCCCAGTTACCTCCCCCCATCCTGTTCTGTTCATTAGCAGCTTTTCAGTTATCCTTTATTAAACACAGTTATTGTTGTCTAACATAACAATGTAACTCCCTGCTCTCCATGTGTCAGTATATAATGCCTGCATCTGTAACTTTCACTCTATGCATCCGAAGAAGTGAGGTTTTTACCCACGAAAGCTTATGCCCAAATAAATCTGTTAGTCTTTAAGGTGCCACCAGACTCCTTGTTGTTTTTGCAGATACAGACTAACACGGCTACCCCCTGAAACATAACATGTTCATTTCTCCCATTGCTTTCCCCATCCCCTCAAAAAGCCCATAATCTTCCTTTCTCAATGGACTTGAATTGCAGCTTTCCCAGCAAAATTGATGTTTTACGTTGATTTCACTGTCCCATTCTCTAGTCTTCCAAAAGGTTCTCCAGCATAAGCAGGGAAGTAAAGGTCTGAAATTTTGAATGAAAAAGGGTCTGACAGCACACCACAAAATATGAGCTCAATCTTGTAAGGTGAGGAGCACTCTAGCCCTTATCAAGCAAAACAGCTGTGCACCTGGCTAGCTTTAATCATATAAGTAGTCCCATTGAACTCAGATCAGATTAGGACCAGAGTTTTCAGCACCTTTATATCCCTCCACCACAGATATGTCTCCAGCATACAGAGAAGCATGGAACTAGTACCCAGCATGCTTCTCTACACTAGCAGGACAGGGCAATGTTGGCCAAAGGCAAACCTCTACTTTTAAAAAGGTGGCATGGGGTCTTTTAGCATCCAGAGTGTGGACAGGACCTATTTTTTCAGGTTTCATTTGAAAGACCTTCGGATCTGATGAGGTTCATTTGTATTTCTAACACTGTATGAAGCTGTGACAATATGAATACATTAGATTATTATATTTCACAATCTATATAAATTTCTTAGATTGTGAGCCCCTCAGATCAAAAACTTCCTGAGTGTTTTGAAAGCACCTAGTACATGGAGGGCAATGCTCCATATAAATAATACACAAGAGGGTTTATTTTAAATTGAGATTTCTAAATGTCCCATTTTGAAATAAAGTCCCAAACCAAATTCCATTTCTAAACACTCCCAAATTTTGAGGAAAGTTAGATCTAGATACAAACGATTTAGATAGTCCCACTCTCTCTAGCAGTCCAAACCAAAATACTGGATTGGAAAGAAACCCCGTTCCTTGGTCCAGCCATATGACAATAGAAAAGAATCACAGAGTTGAGTTCTTCTAAGACTGAACATGGAACTTTATTAGAATAAGGAAAACTATATTATCTCTAAAGCTGATCTATTTAGATTTATTATAGAGTTTCTGCCTAGATCCTTCCCGGCCCCCTTCTGCCTGCCTTCCTGCTACAGATTTAAAGAAACAATACACGTCTACACAGACTCCACTCTTCTATAAATCTCCCATCACAGTTATCTATATTTAGTTCTACATTGTTCAAGCTGCAATGTAATAGGACCTCCTGTGAATTCATTCCTGTGATAAAGACCTTCAGAACACATCAGGGATCCTTTGCTCTCTGGAATAAAGTATACTG